CGATGATGCTGACGCTGATGGGGACGGCGACTATCAGGACGTGCATCAAGAAGCTTGGGAGCAAGCCAATGATGAGGATTTGGAGGCCGATGGCATGTACTCGGACATGTTCAATGAGCCAGATATTGGGGAAGATGAGAGCGGTTATTTGGATGTGGGCGCGGACGCGCAGAACTTTGAGGATGTAGAGCAGCCGGGATTTGGATTTGATGCTTTTGACCCGAATGATGGCTTCGATCAGAACGGGTTTGACGATTCATACTTTGAGGCCGATGGCCTTGATCAAAGCGGTAACGCCGATGAATATCTCGAAGCCGATGGTTTTGAGCAAGAGGACGCTGCCTTTGACGATGAAGCTGATGAATGAGTGTACCTTGCCACCGATCGGAGAATCAAGACCTTTGGTCGGTTTGATTTTGTACACTACTTGAGGCGATTCGCAACGCCGTTGAGCATGCCACGAAGTGAAGTTGTCAAAGTGGTGCTCGATTTCTTGAGATGGTGTCTTCATGTTGGTTTCGTTTTGTTTCCACCCTCTCGTCTCTTGTCGATATCATGATAGAACTGTGTGGTCTCGTGGTTATGCGTGAGGGCTCTTTGTCGATGTCTCTTTTTGTTTCGGGGCGACGGGGGACGGATTGGGGAGGGCTCACCGAGTCTTGTCAGTTTCGTTTCGCTGGTTTCAGTTGAACTCTTGGTTTTGGCTTTGGTTTTTTGATTTTGTTGTTTTTTTATTTTTTTTTTGACACTGTGGCTACAATGGGCGTGCGCCCTTTCCCGGCAGCCCTGTACCTGGAGCTTTCTTGTTGATATATAAAATGCGAAAGGTGTGAGGTTGAATGCACGCACATTTGTGCACACACAATTGAACGCTCGACAAAAATTCTACAACGTAAAAACGAGGGGCACTGCCCGAAGAGGTAAAATAGGAGGGAGCTAGGTAGATAGCACGCCAATAGTCAATCAAGCCAGCCAACGCTCGGCGTAGTGCATGAGCTGGAAGGCAACCTGTGAGGAGATTCACAAGAGCGGAGAGGTGG